TTGAAATCAACAACGACGAATGACAGCAGTTATTTAGACACACTCACTTTATCCTGTCGATCCTTTTGTACCCCGAATTTTCCACCAAATCCAGCAGAATAATCTTTCTGGGACGCGTGTGCTTCCACGTGTTCTTTATGATCCCAACCTACTGCAGACTGCATACAAAGAGAGAGAAAGAATAGACAATGGAGAACTAGCACACGCTGATAAGATCTGTGTGTGTGTGTGTGAAACAGAGGAACTGTAAGGACGGTGAGTGAGCACACGAATCGAGGATAGGGGAAGAATGGTGCGACATTTTTCGACCCACCTGACACTTTATTTGGTTATTTGGACAGAGTAACCCGCCATGAGTTCACAAACCAATCAGTAAAATGTGAAACCCAGTGAAGTCTTAGGTTGTGGTTGGACTCCCCTCCCTTGCACTTCGCGAAATGCTCCCATATGACCAGGCGTCTCAAACAGCTTCTGCTGAGGAAGCCTCACTCACTGCCATCCTGTGAGGCGGAGATGTGTTCCAACCAAATGGAGAGGACGAAAAGCCAATATCCGGGTCGGCGAACCACCGGTAGTTCACCTAGGGGAGTTGGCTAAAAACCCTGACTACAAACCAACCAAGAAGAGGTGTGCGAACCACACGCACATTCCTGGTCGTGGTAGTAGTCACCGGCTCGATTGGGTATCGAGATCTATTGGGCACCTTGAACGTCTGACTCCTGCCCAAGGGTGTGTGACCCCTCACGATGAACTGGGCATTGGCCCCCAATGGATTACGGTCGTCACACCACCCCGTTGCTTTGTGGGTCAGGCGTTGGTTAGCCGAAGGCTCTGGTTGTGAATTCCCTAAGAAAATGCGTTTGCCTGGTTTATGGTTGTACAAACTGAAAACTGAAACTGTGCTTTGACCTGGATATTCTAACTGTATCGTGCCCTCGAGCAAATCATGGACCTTTTGTCTTTTTATAAAGATTATTATACCGTGATTTGCTTGGTACATAGTCTGGAATCAGATATGTGTGAAAAAATATAAGTGGTGTAATTACAGGTCAATCAGTCCCGAACCCAATTTATTGAAAGCTACTCCAGATGGTATGTGACGCAGCTACCATCATGTGGGAGGCTTCTGTTTCTTTGATGCACGGTTTTTCACGAGCACATTAAACAACATTAAAACCAACAGATACAAACACTCCCGATATGTGAAAAACACACAAAAAAGAAAGAATCACTCAGCAGATGTTTCAAACCCAATGTATTAAGGGACCGTTGATAGTATGGGTCAAACAGAGCAAGTAACGGAGCGCGGTCGAAATGTGATGCACAAAGGCCAACCATCGCGTGGATCAGAAGATTAAAAAAAAACGAGAACACAGAACTGACAAGCGAACGGCAAAGAAAAAAAACAACTCACCTACCTGATCTTGCCGATCTGTCTGCACACCATATTTGCCCCCGAATCCGGCACTGTAATCGGTCTGTGAGGAGTGTTTCGGGACGTGTTCAATGTGATCGTGACCAACCGCTGACTAAGTGTTAGAGAAAGACGAAGGAGGGGGGGGGCGAATGAGGATAAACAAACAGGTTTGATTTGCATCAGTTAATGAATGGGGTGTGACCGGGTCATGCACGGGAGATAGTTGTGCAGCACAATCATAATTTGAAGTGCACGAACCGACGGGACGGCAATAAATACCACCAACTACACTGGCAAATTAGACTTGTACAATAATAACTTACTTACTCAGCATTAAACAGACTTTTTCCTGTGTGAGGATAAGTCAATTTCATGAATGAAGCCATGATATCTTAGAAGTATCGTACCAGGTGATATCTCCGGTACAGCTTGACCTTTCTTCGAGTATATACCTCTCGCAAGTGCTACCTGTAGGCTACACAGTGACTTCGCAATGACAGGAAAGGTTAGCATATCTCACGATTATTTTCAAGGACACTTTCAATCAGAGCTCACTTGTCACGCGAAAACATTCTACGTCCTCAGACCGCTGCTGATCGTCTGTGACCGTATATATCTAGTTCATTTGCTCACAGTTACCTACTTGTGTCACTGATCTGCCCACAAGCATCCAGAGAGGCAACCGAGAATGCACAGTCTTCCTGATGATCGACTTTTGGTATACTTTAGTTCCCAAAATTTGATAGGTTATGTCACGCTACTTTCCATAACCAATCTTCGTATTCGGAGTGTATACATGTTTTTCAATACACTCAACACTACAAAAACTTCAGATAACCAGACCAATATTCAACATCTATGAGCGTGCCCTATAAATCAGTTTCTCTGAGGGCGGGTGAAGCCTTATTTTCTCCGCCAAGAAATGATTTCTCGAAGGCAGCGTCCCTGTCTATTCACTTCCTGTCAGTGATGAGGGTATTTTCGGTGAAGTGAAGGATTAACAACCCAATACCTTTGGTTGTATTCTAGTCTATAAGCCATGAATAGCTACTTTATCTAGGTGAGCTTGGAAATCCGGACGGAAAACCTCCGGGTGACGGAACTTATTTCAAGATACCCTGACTGTGACGGTCACCGGCTCGNCGTGCTGAGGGCAGAAGATCCAACGAATTGGATACCAACTCTCAAATGAGCTGGTTTTCACACGCACACAATCACAACGACAACTTGCGGATCAAGCTTCGGTTAGTGCAAGGTGTTGGGTATAATCCCTTAGAAAAATGATTGATTTTTACTTAACTCACACAAACAAAGCAAGGACTATCAATATCATTCTTTTTAGCATGTTTTGATTGCAACACAATCGGAAACCGGACCTATGTAAAATATACAACACAATGCATATATATATATACGCAAAAAATCACAATTAAGAGCTAAAGTCAAACCAATTAATCAACCAGTCCACGTCGCAACCTCGATACCGACCATTTATAATACCCCTTGACAGATTATCACCCACATTTAGCAAAGGTATTCTTGCCTCCAAAAGCCTCAGTATGGTCTGGGGTGGGTTTCTAGGGTTACGGCTGATCATCTTTTCCTTGCACCTCGCAAAATGCTCCCATGTGACAAAGCGTCTCAAATAGCCTTTGCCGAGGAAGCCCTACTTACTGCCTTCTCCTCGCAAAAATATATTTTCCCACCAAAGTGAGAGAACGAAAAGCCAACATTCGGGGCTATAACCGGGTTGGTGGATCACTGGTTGTTCACCTGGGAAAGTTGGTTAAAAGACTGATTCCAAACCAAAGAAAGAGGGGATAAAACAGTTTGAATGCAGCTGGGATGTTTTAAAGCATTTCCGAGAAGCCGAGTTGTGACACTGCATGTGGTTAAGGCTGAAGTAATGCCTTCGAATAAGAAGGCCCAATGGTAGCGCAGACGGTATTTCGAATTACATTTTCGTGATTGTTCCGTATAGATCTGGAGGACAGATTAAAATGTGAACGAACAAGGCAAAATAGGAAGTGAAACGTGTAGCCCTGAGCATGATCTAGGGAATCCGGATATGGAACCACAATTTTCATTGGCAATAAATTCTTCACCGAAGACCGCGCGTGGAAAACTGTCATTCGAAATAACCAGAAAGTCAACTTATACTCTAGCATGAGGTATTCAAGGAAAAAAAACTTAAAACAACTGATCATTAATTTTATTCACTTTTTCGAACCCAGAATTGATAACTGTCGGAAAAAAAGCGTAACCGATTCTAACTTAGGATATTGCGTGCATGTTGCAAAGATGCACAGATTTACACCCCTACCTTAGTATGCGCCTCCAAAAGCCTCAGTATGGTCGGAGGTGGGTTTCTAGGGTTACGGCTGATCATCTTTCTCTTACACTTCACGAAATGCTCCCATGTAACAAAGCACTTCAAATAGCCTCTGCTGAGGAAGCCCTACTCACTGTCTTCTCCAGGCGGAGGTGTTTTCTCACCAAAGTGAGAGGACAAAAAGCCGACATCCGGGGCTATAACCGGGTTGGTGGATCACTGGTTGTTCACCCAGGGAATTTGGCCAAAAACCATGATTCCAAACCAACTAAGAGGAAGCGTACGAACCACACACTTTTCTGGTTGTGGCAGTGGTCATCGGTTCAAATGGGCATCGAGATGTACTGAGCACCTTGGACGTTTGACCCCGTCCAAAGGGTCCCAATGGAGTGCGGTTTTCGAACACCACCCCGCTGCCCTACGGGTTGGCTAGCCAAAAGCTCCGGTTGTGGACTCCAACAAAATTTACCTGGCTTGGCCTGGGAAATCTGGCAGTATCCCGCCTACAGGCAAACCATGAAACGTCTTTCTTTTTCTTGTACCACGATTTTTTGGGGACAGTCTAGATTCAGACTTATATATTTCCCTCGGTAACAGTTTCAAGAGCTCATTAAAAATGTCAGCTCCCCTAATTCCTCCACCCCTTCTTCACTTTCCGCGACGAATGGACCAATTCCGATTATCAATGTAAAACCAGAAGTGACAGCAACAGAGTGAAGTAGAAAGCACAATATAAAAATGAGAGAATAACCCACCTTGTCCATTCGGTCACGTTCAACACCAAACTTTCCACCGTACCCATAGGACGGTTTGGGAGCGGTTTTTAACTTATTTATTCTGTCCGATTGTTTTACCTCTTCGCGAAGTGCTCGTAGGCTAATTGCGGAGGAATTAGACGGAGTGAATAAGATGAGCGTAAAGTGAAATACTTCAGATGATAGATTTATGATATATGCTTTATTTTATATTGGAGAATGGTTAAAAGTTTCAAAACTGCTGATATTATGAGACAAAAAAGTGATTATTATTGTTACTATTATTATTGTCTTGACTATAGGATTTCCATCACGACTAGACTGCACCTTGGCGTGGTGTGATGGCTTGCGCGCCTCAATGACCTTACGAGCTATACAGGCTCCTCAGCCGCAGATCCAATCATACCTGAAAGGTCAAGGGGTAGAGGCCAGATGAAGATCAGTCCCACAAGGCCAGCTACTTAGGCACCTCCCGACTTCCTTTTCTATCTACACCCGCCCCTGGAGAGGTCACCCCAGTAAATAAACACGGTGAGGAGCAGTTACCGATAAAAAACCGTCAGATGGACGTAGGAGCGGGGTGCCTGGGGCTTCCTCTCGACGATGAGAGAATTCTTCGCACTTCATTGGACAGCTACCAGCCGCCCAAGCTGGGCAGCCCCAGCCAATAAGGTGCTGTTCCGTTCACGTTCCGCTTGTCTCATTGGGTGCATGAGGCTAAGGGCCGATCCCGAAAAGCGGACCGATAATCAACGCACCAGCGAACAACAAACTAAACCGAAACCTGAAGCCCTTGCGTGACAGGTCTCTAGAAGCTCCCACACGGGTGCTTCGTTCACGCTCCCGCGTTGGATTTACGACCCACTGCCTTGTGGGTCAGACTTTTGAGTCGAAGGCTCCGATTAGGGTTCCCAAAGAAAAACCCCTTCGTCGGTGTGCGCAACCGCGAAGTATGCCGTGCCCAAAAGTATTAGGTAC